TGTGGTGTCAAGGTTGTGACGTATGAGGGTTATAGCAGTGGCGCATTTAGGGGGGGGCGAAGGGGGCGAATGCCCCGAGCGGCAAATTTTTATGAGTTTTTGGGGCGGCAATTTTATCGAGGGTATTTTTTTTTTTTATCACAAAATATACAACATTGATTGACGTAATGAAGTGTGCTCCGTACTTGGCCGAATCGGGTGATCTCCAGGGAGGCGTGACATAAATTATCAATAGTAAACGAAATCTGAATACTGCTGATTAGCGAACGGTAAACAAGCCGACCCCGCGCAGCGTACCACGCCTAATGAGGCAGTAAACGTTTACATAATCCGGGTGACTTCGGGTCTAACATCATGTTGGTGCTGTAAACGTTTCCATGTTTTTCGGAGGTTCCTATTATATGAATACGACTGATAACCACGATTAAAGATAGTACTATCTTTAATCGTGCTGTTAACGTATAAAACGAATTGTAATTTTTGATTTTTATGCTTCTTAGATAATGTTGGCCATAAAGCTGAACAAATGGCTGGAGTGGTTCTTTCAACAATTGAAAGTTTTAATTTGAACATTTGTAACTTAAGGGGACAATCTTACGATAATGCCAGCAATATGTCTGGTATTTATTCTGGTCTGCAAGCCAAGATTAAAGCTGTTAGTCCACTTGCACAATTTGTCCCCTGTTCAGCTCAATCTCTAAACTTAGTAGGCATAAATGCTGCTAGTTCTTGTAAAAATGCAGTGATGTTTTTTGACTTACTCCAAAAACTATATACATTTTTTTCAGTATCCACATATCGTTGGGATATTTTAAAGTCATCTGTTAAAAGTTTATCAGACACTAGATGATCTGCTAGAGATGACGCATGTAAATCATTGAATAATAATTGGAAATTAATTATTAATGCTCTAGAAAATTTAAAAAATGATAAATCTCAAAAGCCAGCTACACGCTGTGAAGCTAATGGTATTTTACAAAAATTATTGTCTTTGGAAACTGCTTTCATGTCTATATTGTGGGGCCAACTGCTTGAACGTTTTAATTTAAGTAGCAAACGATTACAATCTGTTGATATGGATTTAGTTAAAGTTGCTGAAATATATCAATCATTGATTTTTTATGTGATTGACTTACGAACAGATAGTGAATATGAACACTACAAAAAGTTAGCGATTGAAAAGTGTGGAATTGAGGACTTTGCTAGTACAATGAAACGAACAAAAAAAAGAAAAACATTTATTGATGATGGTCCAGCTACAGATGGTAGCAATGCAATTGATTTTAAAGTCACAACTTATCTGGCTATCTTGGATAGAATTCAGGCTGAGCTCATAAAAAGAAAAAATGCATACGATGAATTAAACAAGAAATACCAGTTTTTATTTTGTATTACGGAAATGACTTCTATGGAGGTAAGAGAAAAGGCTGCAGTTCTACAGCAAATCTATCAGGATGATCTTGGAAAAACTTTTCCAAATGAATGTGTTCACTTCAGGGCACACATGCTAAGTTTAAAAAAAATGAAGAAAATAGTCCCAGGGACCGCTCAGGATTTGTTGAATTTTATAAAAGTAAATAACCTGATTGAACTTTATCCATATGTAGACATAGCTCTTAGGATGCTAATATGTACTCCATCTAGCAATTGTTCTGCGGAGAGATCATTTTCTGCTCTTAAAAGAGTCAAAAATTATCTACGATCTACAATTGGAATGGAACGGTTAAACTCCTTAGCCATGCTCAATATAGAATGTAAGTTGACAAATGAACTCCAGTATGATGACATTATTGATGAATTTGCCAACCAACAGGCAAGAAAAAAATTGTAATTCAATTATTTAATAAAATA